ACAGACACAGACACAGACACAGACACAGACACAGACACAGACACAGACACACACACACACACACAGACACACACACACACACAGACACACACACACACACACAGACACACACACACACACACACAACCTGCAGTCCTTCCAATTGCTCTGGCGTCGCAGGCCCTTGGCCGTTCGCGCTATGGCAATGCCATGCTGCTTGCCATCCTGCAGAAACCCACAAGAAAGAAGACTGCTGCTAGTTCTATCAAACTACACGGCATCTCAAGCATGTGGTAATGGACGTAGAAGGAAGGCAGCCAGCCATACTGGCCGGCTCTGCCAGGCCTGCCACTGTCCGCAGTAGGACCGGCCATCCGGCCACTTCCTCAATTCAATCCGACCGTCGGCAATGCTACCAGTATCTGTCTGATCTGCCAGTTACTACACTCTAAATCGTACGGATGGCTGGGCAGCTCCGGATTGAGGCTGTAAAGGTCTCAACCTAGTTGTGCAGGGGGGACAAATGTGGCTGCCACGGCGCAAGGTTCCCTCGCCGTGCTTCCGCCCATCCAGGAACTCGCCCTGGCCATGAGGGAAGGATCACGAACACCAGGGTAGTGAGAACCTTTCGAAAAATAGCGGCCGTCCAGGGGAGAATGGCTATCTTTTATCGATCGCTCTGTCGCCAGCGTGTTCTGCGAGAGTATCGGACGAGTCTCCGACTCCATGAACTTTGGATGCATTGCACATGAAGATAACTTGTTGCAAGATGTTGCTCGGGAGTTATGCACCTTGAACCTTTTCCGGTGACCACGCCTTCAAGCTTGGGCCCCTGGAAACCCTGACACCAGTAAGGTTGAGCTGGTATTGTAGTTGAGGTCCTCGCCACCTTTCCCTGTTGGTCTGAGGCCTGAACAAGCAATCAATGTAGTGAAGGAACTTTGCAGAAAGACAGCTCTACAAGGGTCAGGGTTTGGAAACGTCACTAGCCGACTCCAACCGAAGTCAATACAAGTTGACCCCAGATATCATCGTTGCTGGTAGCAGATCTATGCACAGCATCCATTTTCTTTCCTCATCTCCCGGCAGAGGCCTAAACACTGGGTTGAACCGTGCTGTCCGTGCCTCGTATGTGCGGCCATCTGACCACCTCAGCTCACCGTTGTCGCCCATTCGTATTTGGTTCTTCCGACAAGTCTTTGTCTACCTGTGCACCAGATGTCCAGCCATGTAGTCTAGCAGCCACATCTTCCCTCTGGGCGCCATGGTGTTGCGATTCCACTGGCCTTAACTGGCTGTGTTATCAACGCAGAGTATTCGCAAGACCGCATGGAGGCTGACAGCAGCAGAACAGTGGCCAGTTTAGTGCTCGTAAGCATCTATCGATCTGACACTCCACCCACACACACAGCCACACAATCCCAAGAAATAGACCGGGTTGCCAGAATATCCACGGCCATCATTCCACGTGTAAACGCCTTCTCCGTGCATGTCGTTATTGTCCTGAGCTGCACCACTTTTGCATAAGCTTCCCTATTTGCCCTACCAGCATTTTACAGTTGAAAAGACAAACCTTGACTGCGTTACACTGAGGTCGCATCGAACTCACCTTCGTAGCGGCACAGCGTGGACCAAACGAACTTTCCGCGGCCATGTTTGGCACCAGCCTGTGTCAAACTACGTGGTAGCATCTGGAGGATGGCACAGCACAGGAGGGAGAGAGAGAGAGAGAGAGAGCACGGGACTCTGGACCCCGTGAGTGAAGCGAAGTGAACTGAAGCGGGAGGCAGCGAGGGAGACACTTGCACCAACTGCTACACGCAAGCACGTGCTCCAAACTCGTTGTAAAAGTGCTCTTTCCATCCCAAAGTTGTGGAACGAGATTCGCATGTGGCCTTGAACTGGCCCTCGAAGACAGATCCGTCGGCCCACTCCTCCTTGCCATCTCCTTCCTGAAGATCGTTTACCTAAGAGTTGGAGCATGTCTGCAAGGCACACTCGCTGCTGCTCTTACTCAGGCCGCAACCCACTGACCCGTGTACTTGGCACCGGATGGGTAATGGTAGACACCACTTCCATCTTTCTTGTCATTCTTGAACTGACCTTCCCATAAGGAGGAAGACATAGGAAGACAGTAGGACTTTCTGTATTCACAACACTCGCGATCGACCGATGTAATGCCAACTCCTTCTGCTCGAAACTGCACAGTGCACGCCAGCCGACAATGACAGAAAGTGAGGAATTTGGTGCTCTGAGTGACAGGTTTGCATCATGCTCTGCTTACTAGTTAACTGAGGCGGTGGCCCACGTATTTGGAACCATCCTGGTACATGTGCTCTTGACGCGCGGCACGATCTGCAGTACTAAAATCAGACTCCAGCTGGCCTTCAGCGTGAGGCTTCCCTGGCCATGCTTCTGGCCGTTCAGCCAGCCACCTTCGTAGGTGGCGTCGCCGGCAACCTCAGAGCTGCCCGGATTCAATAGGAACACGATCTGTTCGCCGAATGCAAGCCAAGGAAAGGGAGAAACGGACCACACTACCTTCGACATGCTTTGGAATGCAACTTCAAACTCGTACAGGATTCTTGTCGTCCAGCCTGGAGCAGCGAAAGAAGCCTTGTCCAAAACCTTTAGTTTTGACAGAGTTTGCTGGACCTGGGCTTCCTTTTGTTTTGAGGTGCTTCCGAAATTCTGGCACTGCTACTTTCTGAGTAAACATAGCAGCCTGTCCCTGGGCACCCCCACCTCCTGGTCACCCAACCGACTGGGCCGCTACGCTGAGCACAATGCCGTGCAGCTCTAATCAAGCTTCCTATTGCCCACCATCTGCTCGCCCATCTCGAACAGGCGCTTACCTTCCCCCTTGCAACACTATGCCAAGTGGTTGCTGATCGGTGAATTGCCGTGCTACCGAAGCACTCCCTGGAACCACACTGCATGTGATGAACTTCTGGCTCGTGATGGCTGCTGTCAGGGAGCGATTACCGACTAGTTGACAACTACTGTGGTGTACTATGAGGCTGTGTATGTGATCTCGGAGCGGCCTTGGCCGATGTTTGGATACTTGGCCATCTACATGAATAGGAGGTTGATTCAAAGCATGTTCGCAAGCGGGTAGCCTGTGCCTTCGTTGCCCCGCCACCGGCATCTGCCTCAGCAACGCCACCAGCGGAAAAGGCCTCAATTCGGCGGTGCAGGAACATTACCGAACAAACAGTCCAGTCCCTATATACCCGTTTGAAACATATGTCCAATTTGCGAAACCACATCAGGTGTCAGCTTGCATAGCTAAGAAGCTGATGGCAGTGTGTAAATGTAAATAAATACATAAATATATATGTATATATACATATAGATATGCACATGCTCCCAGACTTCAGGCAACAGTTGGACCACCCGCCATCATCCGGCATCCATGTGCTGCTCCAAGGGTCTGCGGAATCGTCATCTCCCTGGCCCAACTCAATCTGCAACACTCTCGCTCTAGGGCTCAGCTCGTCTTACACTTCGAGAACTGCCGTAAAGTCATCCAGTCATTGTTTCTCAGCGCTGCCTTGATGGTTTGGGTAGTGACCGAAGGGCCCCGGTCGCAGCTGCATGGCCCTTGCCCCATGGCACGATGCCTCCTACAGTCCTACAGAGAGAGAGAGAGAGAGAACGTAACAACAATGCGGCTGGCTGTGGACCCAACATCAGCGCTTGCATCTTGTCTAGCGCAAGGCTGCAGTAATCTTTGGTATACGACATGTTTCCAATCTGAATAAAGGGACAATGGAGCTAGCAGCAGCGAAGAACGAACGCTTCATCAAGTGCATCATGCAAGCTATATGCAAGCTCTCCAGTTCGACAGTACAGCAGACTGCATACTGCAAAGGATGGACCGAGAATGGAGCCATCATCTCCAGGAGCATTCTCTGATTCTGCTGAACCTCGGTTCATGCCCCGTCGGATGCGTAAAGAGTGCAAAAAGCTTGCCAGAAGTGCTTTTGATCCGCGCTGTTCGCGGCCCGTTCGCAGGCATCCTGGTATCGCCGCAAAGTCTTTTCAAGGGTGAGACCACCGAAGGATGCTTCATCTCCTGGGCCAGAGCTGCTGCCACAGCCGTTGACAGTCTGCTTGAATGCTTCCCAGCGGCGTGAAACCACTGGAATCACCAATCCATCACCATCCTGTCGTACCAAAGTGGCAACATGCTTGAGCAGAATACCAAACTGCCAGTTGCCACGGCCTCAAAGTCATCTGCACCGGCTTGCGCCTCATCCGTGAGCCTGCCAAAAGCGGCTGGGACCTGCAAGAGTATGCACTGAGTTTGGCGCTGACATCTGCCAGAACTCGGACTTCGCAGCTGAATTGCGTGGATAACTTACCCGTTTACCAACAGCCTGTGACAGTGTGTCGTTGCACAGGAAGGCCGTCGCAATTCGCAACAGCCGTCCGCACCTGCATCTGTCGCAAGCCGTAGAGAGGCAGGCAAACAACGGTGGCTGGGAGAAGCTCGGCCACTCTTGCAGAAGTAACTTGAGAATCCTGTTATGCAATTCTGAGCAGATAGGCCAATGCTGTTCGAGTTCTGGGTCGAAAGGCAGTGCAAAGCTGAGCAATGTTAGAGGCTGCGGGCAGATTGAGCTCGTCCCACGGCGCTGTCTCCTTCACAATTCCATCCTACACGGTTCAGCAGTGATTTGCTCTCACAAGTTGCGACATTCGCGGGGCTGAACCTGACGACGGGATTGTCGGATCCCTATTTTTCCCGAGTTGTGCAGTTGCCAGGGCCAAAATCCAAGACTTTCGCACCTCTTTCGGGAGAGCCTACTATGAGCATTGACACGTCGTCGACGTGTCTAGCAGACATGTCATTACTGCTGCATACATATGGCCTCCAATGTTCGATAGCCAAAGGCTCCTGTGGAAATTCAATATCAGACCTGTCGCCAAGCTCGAAATAGAAATAGTAGTACCTGGGTGTACAAAGGCGTACATCCGAGTATGTTGACACAATGGCAGGACGAAATGCCGACCTCGGGCTTATCTCTCAACTCCCTCGTCTCCATGTAGTCGCTGCTGATAGCGTGATCGCATGGGGGCCAAGCTGCTCGGTTTTCAGCGACCTCCAAGTGGCAATAATGGGCAGCATCCCTTTGGGTGGTGCGGCAGTGACCTCAACAGTCTTCACTGCCATCAGAAGCCATCCATTTATTGTTGCTGCGAACTTGAGACCTTGATCTGATTATGCTGACGAGCGGCACCAGTCTCTCGCAGAGCCTCACTCTTCATCATGGACACCTCGGACACATCATCAGCTGTGGCACATGGTAGGACACATAATTCATTCACACGAGGCTGTGCATTTCCTGCTGTAGCCGCTGCTCAGCTGCCTGAAGCCAAGGCGCTCGCCCCAAGAGAGGGGATAGTTTCTCTTGCACTTCGGCATTCGCAAACCTGTTCCAATCTGATTTCCAGCCAGAGGCACGAGAAGCTTACACTGCTGCCTGGCTGCAAAAGAATGTTAGTTGGAGGAAGTTGCGAGCAATCCGAAGCATGCTCTTCTGTGCTTCAAGAGCTTGTGCCAGGCCGAAACGACATGCGCACGCAAACATCCAAGAAACGCCGCCTGGCCATGATCAGTGCCTCGGGGCAGCAGCCGCGGCGGCTCATGCCATCTCGCGCTTGCACAGTGATGTGCCTGCACTCTCAAACGAAAGGTGTTGAGGAGCGGGCGAACATGTCTCGCTGATCTGGTGACCGAATGTGTCCTGGCGACTAGAAGTTGAGCTGAAGTGACACCCATCGTGACAGGTTCTGACTGTCTGACTGATGTCATACACTCCTTTGAAGTTTTTGAGGTCGGTAACCACAATCCGCTGCAGGTCGTCGTTTTGTAGGCGAGCGAAGCGTTTCTCAGGAGGCTGCGGCGGCCAGTCGTCACCGACGACCTGTTTAGTGAGCGCATCAACATTTAGGAAGGCACACCGGGCACAGGATTTGAGCAGCAAGCACTTGTTCCGGCAATACCAGAGGCCCGGTTTCTCAAGTTGCTGCGCGACCTCGGCAGGCACATCCTCCTCGTCCCCGCTGGCTTGTTGGACGCGTGGGCGTCTGCACACCATTGGCCTCCCGAAAAGGTGCAAAACATGGCACTCCGGTTCCAGTCCTGGTCTTTTTCATCTCACATCGCCTGCTCTGGAGCACCTCTTCCACGCATGGGTCCGCCAAAGTGACGTCTGCAGGTCTTGAAAACACCGTCGCGACTGGGACCAGCTTCTCCGCAGGTACTTCGTCCTTCGTGATCACCTGTAAATTACAGCTTGCAGTCGGCTAGGGAAATATTGCACTCATCAGCGTGGTGCAGACCGAGACCGAGTCGCCGAATCGGCGTTGCTGCAGCAGGCCAGACATTGAAATTCTGGCCATGCACCGAAGAACATGGGCAACCAGCAGACAAGGAAGCTACTTATGTTGATGCTGCCTGATTCTTCCACTGCCCTTTGCATCTTTCGGTTCCGGATCATTCCCACTTGTGCGTGATTCGTCTTCCTCTTTGATGCACGGTTGCACTTTGTTGCCGCATGTAGCGGTCTGACGCTACTCATGTCAGGGATGGTGAGGGATCTGGGCCGAGGATAGGGCCTTGCAACGATTCCTCCAGAAGCTACCGGTGCGGCAACACGATATGCATCATCAACATTAGCTCCAGTGAAAGACGCCGTCAAACAGCTTCTGCCAACACGAGCCCCGCTCAGGAGACCGACCTGTCGGCCCTGTGGCACGGCCGCCAGGCCTGATTGCAGAAGGATGGCCTGGCGTCTCACAGATGTCTGTGTGGCTGCGTAAAAGCACGGACGTGCAGATGCTTAGCAGTGACATGAAGAGCACGGAATCACCAGTCAGTAGCCGAGTGGTAGGTGGCAAAACCCCACTCAGTGTCACTGGTCCTAGTTTGGTGTCTGTCGTACACTCTGACCGGAAAACATAAGCCTGGTGCAGCAAGACTCTGATGCATCTGAGGCTCGAACAACTTCCGTTGGGCCCAACAACGATGTGCCTGCAGCAGGCTGCCAATGGTGTGGCATCCAGCTCATGCATTATCATATGCAGCGCAGGCTTGAATCTTCCGCACGTAGAGTGCGAAGGCTGGTCTCGCGTATATGCATGATCTGCAACTCAGGTGGAGTGAAACGACGGGCGTCGGGCCGAGGTCGAAAATTGTCTGCGAGCCATCCCTCAGTCAACTGCGCACTAAAAACTCAGCGTCTTGCAGCCGACAACTTCGCATGCTTTTAAGGGCATCCATGTCGGGCTTCTGCCGGTGACCCAGCCTCACTGGATTCAGAAGCCTAGTTCCCCGGACGTCCGCTGTCTTCATCCGATCATATGCGATCACTGTGTCGCTGGCGAACTTCTGGAAAGCGACGGCAGGTTTGCTGGCCTTCGGATTCGCACAGCTGCAGCTGGTCGATGTACCACGATTCAGTACGGTACGAGACAGGGATGCACGGACACGATGAGGCAACGTTAATCGAATCCACGGCCCCACAACGAGCAGTACTAGGCTCCGAACGTAGATGAAGTGGAAGCGGCCTGTGATGGTCACCCATTTCAAGCATGACTGGGCAGTCTCGGACAAGGCCTGTGATTGAGCAAATCGGGCTGCATTGGCACCTTCACACGCATGCAAAGCACTTCAGCGCCGTGGCTCGTGAATGCTCTTGCTCTGCGCTGGCTGGTGCCTGCCGCTGTTGGAGTCACACATGTGTTCAACTGTTAAGTAACGAAATGCAGAATACGCGATCTCCCGCGGGCCAAGCTCTTCAATGATGCCGGCCACATCTCTTTCGAATTGACAGCCCCGTCTTCTGCTTTTGCTGCCGCTCCGCATCTGAATTTGTTCGCTGGCCTATTGCTGCAGAATGAGATGGTGGCAAGCCGTCCGCCGCCAGGCCTGTGTGCAAGCTGCAAGACTGCTGAGACCAGACATGACCAAACCCAAGCATGCGCAAAAAGTCCAGGGCACTGGCATGTCAGCATTGATGATGGCACCTGTGATGGGGACTTTCCTCGAGCTTTGGAGCCGAACCACACTCCTTGTTTGAGGGGAGAGACCGTATTTACACGGCGCCCATGCTGCGCCATGGTCTGGTGAATGCATGATGTAGCAGGCCCAGCATGACTTTGAGCCTGTACTGTGGTAGCCATGGTATGCCATGGTCCCCTCCGCACTCCTCCCCACTACGTTGGAAGCCATGCAGTCGCACCTCGCCAGCATCGAACGGCCTCTCTTCCAGCCGGTTGGGCATGGGCACGTTCCCTTGCAAGAAGCTGGTCAAAGGTGAGCCTCACACTCGTGATGGTGCTAGTATCTACCAAGCTCGTGCAACCCTACAGCGGCGATCAAGAGAGGCAGAAGGCGATCTAGCTTTGGAAGATGGCTAGTTTGTGAATCTTAGCCAGCTCGGAATCGTGCCTGCTGCGGCCTGGGCAGGGGCGTTGGAGAGCCCCGCCTGTCAGGTCAAGGGCACCACCTTCACATTTCAAGCGTCACATATGAGAACTTTTGTATGTATGTATAATATATAACTACACATATATACACATTTGCTTATATACATACTTGACTACCCACGCACCCACCAACTCAGCTTCCTACCTACCTACCCACCCACGAGCATGTATGCAGGCATGCATGCACACACATGTAGGTGCACATCTCCATATGTAGCAATAGTTTTATATATATAAACACACATTCATACAGATGTGTTTGTGTATCGTAGGCTCGATTGAGAAGGGCTCAATCGGGATCAACAGCACTAGTGAAAAAAGTTCAACTTTCGATGCCCGCCCGGGGAGGAGTGCTGCGATGGTGACACAGACGAATCCCGATGCATTCCGTCCGAGACGAATGTGCAACATGTTTTCGATCAATGTGCCGGGGGGTACACCTGCGGGGCTCATTCTGAGTCTGAGTCTGGCTGAGCTGCTGACCAACTGCAGCGCCTGTTCCGCCAAGCTCTTCTGTCGCTCCTGGCTCTTTTTGCTTGTGCTTTGTGTGCTGAAGCAGTGCGCGGCGGGTGCTCGAAAGGTCTTTAGTTGATGATTACAGCACAGCGCAAGGCAGTACCGCCTGCAGGCGACAAAGCTCTGTCGCCACGGCTTTCTGCTCTCTCAAGACCTTACCCATGTCTTCATGGTCCAGGATGTGAACGCGAACAGCTGACAAGGTGTTCTAGTGCAGCAGTGGCAAGGTGCACTGCAGTAAAATCGCGATTTGAGAGGTGCCACCCGTGTTTGCATATGGGTCTGCATTAAGTTGGGCATGACAGAATCGAAGTGCTCTCATACTGTCGGGCTCGGGACTGCGCCGTTTCGGCGTCTAGGGAAATTCTTGATTTTACTTCGGCGATGGCATGGCAGGGTGTTGTATTCAGTTGTACTATTCAAGTTGGTCGCATAACATGCTTCCAAATCTTGCCACAGGCTTTCGTTCATCATCCCTGAGCCGTCGGCACTCGCCAGCCGAGCCGACAAAGTCGTGGCCTCATGAGCACAAGAAAGCTTCCGTTTCCTAGTTCCTTCGCAGGTTCCTTTTATCTCTACCTAAACCTGCACAGCAACGTCTCAGGGTGTCTGGCCACGGCTTTGCCTTGCAGTATCCTGCTGCCACCCACCTGCAGGCGCGACTTCGGTGCTTCAGCACAAAGCAGCGTTTTCATGCGGCCCTCCCTGCGATCTTTGACAGCTGGTCGCCTAGTCAGAAATCAAGCCCACATGGAATTCGCCAAACCTGGCGCTTCACACCTTGTTTCTCTCGTCGGTACCGGCAAAGGAGGCCCGGATGGCGGTGGCCTGAGCCGTGTCAGTAGTGAGCATCACACTTTGACTGAATGTCGCTTCTATATCTTCTATGAAGGCTTGAATGCATTCACGCAGCTCCAAGCACGAGAGACCCGAGTCGTCAAGAGTGTGCCATCACTGTCGGTCAGTGCGACCAAATAACAAGCGGACGGACAAGACGCGGAGGGTGCTAAGCCCGCGCACAAGGAAGAAGCCCACGGCCATCCCTTGGGGCATGAACGCCTCGGCATCTGATTCCATGAAAACAGCACGTTCCCGGACAGTCTATCACAAACCCCTGATGATGGTCCCAGTGTCGTACTGTGCTGATAACTTTCTGCCTGAGCCGCACGCAGGGCCGCCATAGCCTTCAGCAACCTTCTCCACCTGCACTCCCCGACCACGTGAAGAACAACAGGATATTTTTGGAGTGCTTCCTATCTCCACATCTCAGGTTCGAAACAAATGGAGGAATCAGGCAGCATCGAGTGAGTGTTGCTTCCTGGGGATGCCACACGGCGCTTCAGCCCCAGCAGAAATTTGAGCCGATGCCTCCGGCGCAGTGAAGCGTAGCTTGGCAGATGCGGTGCCTGTCCTGAGAGTCTGAGAGCCTGGCCTGAGGGATGGCTCTAGCTGGGAGCTCCGCAAAACATGTTCAACCTGCGGCACTCCGGCACTTCGGATGTGCGGTGTGGCATGCATAGCACCCCCGTATGTAGCCCATGCCGGCAAATGCAAGGTTGGACCTGCAGAAGTGCACTCTACACGGACACCAAAGCCTGCTTGGCCGTGAGATATGGCGCAGCACGCCGCAGCTGGTCTTCCTGCCATGCATTCTGCGCTCCACTTGCGGGTCCGGCGATTTCCCCTCAACAAAGGCCCCGACCATAGTTTGGGAAAGCAGAGTGGGCCGCTCGACCTTTGCGGTCGTCTCGGTCTGTGCAAGTCTCACAACCGATAGGCAAAAACCCTCCCTTGCTCCAGCCACGTCTTGTCAACCGAGGCTTGAACGGCGTCGTACAAGCTGGAAGCGCAGGGGGCGACCTTCGTCCAGCAAATTGCCGGAATCTCTTGATGCCATCTTCACAGATGCAGTCGGGCTTGCATCGGTAACGGAATCAGCATGGGCAAGACTGTCACATGATCAAGACTTCTTTCAACCGTTTTCAAAGGTCACGGCCAGCCTACTTACTTAAGCTTGTGCACGAACCAGATCGGGCACAAGCAAATACATGTGGATTCTGGATACTCAGGCTAAACATGGCTAAACAATCAACTTCACTGCCTTTGTGCAGAGCATGCCCACTCAATGTAAACCTCCCGGCTGGGAATATGGAGCTGTGCCACACTTTTGCGGAACAAACACGGTGCCTCCTCCAACTTCCGTCGATACTTCTGCGACGGTGGCTGCTCGTTGGATTTGGACGGGTCTGGCCTTGTGACTCCGAAACGGGAACGCATTCTGGGGCTGCTCGGGTGCACTGGCAGCAGGCGGGACTTCAATGCATCTATGCTTCTTCATCTCACTCGGGCATTGATTCCGTACGAAGTGGAAGAAGCTTGGGTCAGAAAACTGAGCTCTTCGGTTTGTTTCCCATTCATGCGCTAGACACGCTTCGCTACGCGCTAAGCCCGTGGTCCAACCTGCTTGTCTTTTTCGTCGCTCTGGCAGCGGAAGCATGGCAGTACTGCATCTCTGCAGTAAGATGGGGGAGGGCAGAGGAAACGATTCCATGGTCTGTACAGAGCCACAAGAAACACTTCGATAACGTCTCTGCCTGTGACCTGCCAGATCCGAGGCCTGCGACCCTACGACCTGCCTTAAACTCAAGGCCTCCCAAGCACTCCACGGTTCCTCAGGACCTTCGACCTTCAGGCAGACGTTGGTGGCAACAGCCAAAGACCCAAGTCTAGCATGCGGCGTCCTGCTCGTGACATCTCGTGACTTGTGACTCTTCAATAGGAAGCTGCAAACTGTCAGAGAGGATTCCCACATGCCGTCGGGCGAGGCTGTCCGGCTAAATGGTGTACGTGCGCACGGATAAATAGGTAGGCCCGGTATGTAGACAGACCGACAGGCAAACAAATAGGTAGCAGGCAAAGCGATAGAAACGCGATGGGCACGTCAGCCACGGTAGGCACTGCATGTGCACGCACGCACAACACCCAGCGCGCTATGTCAGATAAAGAATTGCCAGGAATGACTGCCACAAGCAAGGCATGCTGGGCACGCTTCGCCGCCATGGCCTTGCAGAGGTAGCTGAAGGATGTGGAGGCACGCTTAGACAAGCATGCTGTGTCTTCTCAAGAAGTTGAACCGCATAATGGTGCGCAAGGTGTCTGGTGTGCATGCTGTCAGAAAAGACTAGGCAAGCCACTGCGCTAATTGCGGTAGCCATCCTCCAACTACCTCTCTTGCTCTGAAGTGGCATGCCTTGTGCATTGCCATACTTCATCTTTGCTTCGTTTTTTACGAATCGTTATCGGATCGGCTTGGGCTGTGATTCAGCTGTGCCAGGAATGGTGCACTGGTGGTCCCGGGCCGCTGTCACAGCCGACACACCACAGAATTCTGCTTACACTATCTGGTCAAGAACTTGCAGAAGAATGTCCCTGGAGGAGACGATGCCCACGATGCGAGCGATCTCGTCCTTGGCCACGCGCAGGGAAGTCACTACCGCCTCTACCGGAAGGCAGCCAGTTCACGTGAAGAATTGAAACGCTACAGCTCAAGGCCAAGGAGAAGCCCCAATTCCAATAGCCTCGCGCCGAGAATCCGAGGCCAGGAAAAGCCGCGAAAGCTTAGAGGCGAGAAGCCGCAAGGCGAGGGTGTGAAGCCTGGGCGAGATCTTACGCTTCAGCTGAACAACTTCCAGCGACCGGCGAAAAGCTTACAAGAGTGGCAACAGGCACACCATGTCACACCCAGGAGCTGCACAGTCACTCTGCAACCGAATTCTTCCAAGATGCGATGCACCCTCATGAACTGAGACAACCTCAGTGGTGCTCTCTCGGAAGAAACCTCGCCTGATTCCAGTTTATACGATCCATGATCAACCGCAGCCTCAGCGGTGTCTCCCCCAAGGTCACTCAACTGGGCTGAGTGACATTAAAACGGTGCAGCCGCTGCAGCCGTAAAATCTGATCCAGGCTTTGGGCCTCGGCCTGAAGGAAAGGCCGCCGCAAACCGAAAGCNNGCCCCCCCCCCCCCCCCCCCTTGCTACGTAGGTTTCAGCGTCAGCGTCAGCGCCCAAGCAGATCCCGCCTCTGTGCGCCAGGAGAGGAAATCAGAAACGGACCTGGGCCGGCTTTTGCGTCTGTTGACCGTCACGGCACTGCGTTACTCTCCAGAACATGCAGCCAGAGGGAACACCTAGCTTCCAACTCTCGCCTTCAGCTGGCAGCGGAGGGCTGTCGACTTTCGAGATATTTCATTTGTTGCATAACTAATCATAACATCCGGTGCCGAAGCTGACATGACATGGTCCAAGACGCCTACGGTAAGCTTGGTAAGCTTCCGGCATGCCCAAAGCATCAAACCTGCCGGAGCCTCGGCCACAGAGCCAGTGTGGGTTGCTCAGCATTCTACTTCAACAAAATCTCAGATTCAGCCAAAAATTTCCAGGATGTCTCAGGCTCAGGTGCAGACGAATGATCCACTTCCTCAGCTGCTCACACGCGCACAGGTTGCTATTTCAGGCCTGAGGTTGTGGGTGCAGCCTTCTGGCGGTTGGGTCTGTGGTGTTCTGTCTTAGTGCTTCGGGATCCCCAGTATCCAGGGATCGCATCAGCCGCTTAGACGCCTTATCGGAAGAACGAGCTGCCGGGTAATGCCAACTACATGTTTCTGCCAAGGGGCAAGTCGGCAACGGAAACAACCTCCAGTAGTTAATGAATAGGAATGCACGCAGCTGCAGTCATCTTGAAAAGTCACGAGTGACTAGCATCCAGCTACTGCAGGCACCGCAAAAGGTTGAAAAACCTACCCCCCCTCCACACCTAGCGACACAAACCTTACACGTAAGTGCACATAAGCTGCATTGCTGGCCACTACACCGCCCAGATCACCAGACAGCTCTCGTGAGGTCGTCGGGCAAATGGAGAGGCCTGGCAGGAATTGAAGCAACGCAACGTTGCCGGATCATCCAGTGGCAAAGGCGCACAGCCCGAAGCTGCATCTGAAGCTTTGAAACATACACGTCTTGTCTCCTGTAGCGTTCTGCTGCCGCTTCCAGAGAGGCTCACGCCGACCCCTTCACAACCGTTACTCGACGTGGGCGCAAAAGCCTCTTATGCTGTCAACACAAGAATCTTGAAACAACAGCTCCGAACAAGTGGGGGTGTTTGACAATGTCTTGGTGCTGGTCTCAAAACCGGCTGTTGGACATTATTCGAGGGAGGCTTGCATGCTCCACAACACCATGACGCCCGGTATCTCCCGGCGGGACCTGCCGCCTTCATGTTCTGCAAAGCATGGAGCAAGGGCTCGTCTTGTTGAACAGACACCTGCACAAAAGCTTCACATCACTGACAACAGTTCTCTCCATGCCACCATGCAAGGAGCCTGCAGGATGGTGCTTCGACGATCGAAGACCTACCGGGCTTCGGCAGACGCTTTGAAGTCTCGTCAAGCAGGAAACGAAGGCTGGTGTTGACATGCAGCGCAAGGGTCTCTCGTGCAAGTGCTGCAGGCCTTTGCGGATAAGGATTTCAGAACAGCCGAAGGCGCCGTGTATCGCAAAGCCAAGTGGAGAAAATCCGGGGCAGAGAAAACTCCAACCTTAGGATGCTGCAGCTGGTTCACGACAGGAGGCTAACACTTCCATACACTTCCTGTCACTCTTGGATCCTTCTCGGCAGGCTTCTTGGCAACTGAGGCATTGACAATGTTGCCTGTCGGGAGCTGACCGCATCTCGCTGGAAACTCTGCGCTTTGAAATGTCATTACTCTGGTACAGCATGGTTACCAACACGCACCCATGTCCACCAAAGCGCATGTTGAGATAACTTACTTGCCGAAGCCTTCTGCATCCATCAAGGGCACTCGCCGTGCTTTGCCCTGTCTAGAGCTGTCGGCGGTGCTTGGACTTGGAAGCTTCCGGCCTGACAGATTCAAGCGCAACTTGCAGGTCGACTTCATTGTGGCTTGGAGTCTTGGAGTCCAGGATATTCCAGATGCCGGCCCAGGGATGCCCTGAAGTGGCCTGCCATTATCTTTAGCACCTCGCGCGCCGGTGTGTCAACCGAAGCTGGCACAAAGGCACCTTCGCAACCCAGGCTGTTGTGCGAGGGTTTTTTAAAATTTTGGCACTCGCGATCGACAGGGTCAGGCGAGGACTCCAGGAGATGCGAGGTTTACACATATTCCAACTGTGCGGCGCCAAAGCATTAACACCTCGGTCGCAGATCCCAGCGGCAAATTCTGGAGCAGTTGGCCAAACTTCCGATGCTCGCCTGGCGGGCAAAAAGCTGCAGCTGTCCTGCGCGTGTCCTGCGCCTCAAGCAACCTCTATACCAGTTTACAGGCCAGATTCCGAGAAAACTGAAATGTCGTTCTGTTCCGTGCCACTGCATCAAGACTCACCTCAAGCTCAATTCACGTGGACCTGTTGCCGTGCATGGGTGATAGTCTGATCGGCCAGGAGGGGCAGGTGTCTCCAGGAGCTACACTGCTACACGTCTTCAAAGGACAAGCCGTCAGTCGCGGCCACCAGATCATCATCACCATCACAACCACTACAGCAAGACCAGCAGAAACATCATCACCATCCCCGTCGCCACCAACTCCAGCAGGAGCACAACCGACAGTGCCACTGCCAGCTCCAGTACAGCTGAACGGCTACTAGTGCCATACTGTTGATGTCACGATCCTGGTACGGATGCTTATCCTGGACCGCATACGCTTGGAGGATGTGTACGACTACGACAACGACCCAGCTGTCTTGCTGATCCGACATTCTTCGACTAAAAAAAGCGGAGCAACCGCATGACTCAAAGCCGTTCACAGCAACGTTCCGAGGCCTCGCAGAGAAGCTCCAAGGTCCTAGCAGCCTGGTCCGCCGTGTGCGACGCCTGGCGGCAGGAACGCCATCTCTGTCCCCCAATCCCCGTGCAAGCTTTAGTGACACCGCGAATACTATTTCCTGATAACAGTCATGAATACTCTCTACGAAAAACTTTGGTGGGAATTAGTTTGCAGAATGGGATTCATTTCTCGGGATTTCTTTCTGACCAATTCCAGGGGGTGCATTCCCAGAGCAGCATGAAACGGCAGCTTTCACTATGTAAGTGCCCACCTCGGAGGCTGTTCCATGTGCGATCTATGAAAGTCTGAGAAAACTTGGATTCGGAACTTTCGGGAAATACCCAGTCGTGGAACGAAACAACTCATCAAGCCTCAAACGAAACGATCCACAAGCCTTGACCCTGTTTAAT